GCAGAAAGGAAGAGGGAAAAGAATGAAGGCTGCATTCCAGGTGTCTGATTTGAACACCTGTGGAAATGGTAGCACCATGACCTTTCTTCTCTCCTATCTGTGACACTCCCCTTCTTTCCTGGCCTTGGTCAGATTTTATGTACAAATCTGCCAGATGACTCTCTCTGGGACTTCAGTTCTTTCAGATTCATTCTCCACTATGATTGTTGGGATTTAATAAATCCATTGCTACTCAAGGCTCTGTTATTTCTTACTGGTAGCATAAAAGGAGGCATATCTTTATTTTTTTAAAAGGAATTTTTGATCTGATTTCTTCTCAGTTAAAAATCTCAACCCAACTAGTGGAGAATAGCTTGTATGAGAAAACAGTGATAAAAATGGACAAAATATAAAGAATAAGCATTTGAAGGCACTGAAAAAAATCAAAAGGCAGAAACAGGAGGGAATTAGACAATTGAAACTGTAGTGCATGAGAATTGCTTTTATTTGGCTTTTCTTCTGAGGGTTTTCCCCAGTCCACATGGAGGTTTGAACACAAGCGGAAAGCCACTGAATTAAAAGATGAACCCTGGGGCTGCCAGAGTAGCAATAGTAAGGGGGGAATTTCAGAAAGGAAACACAAAGGAGGACCCCTAAAATTTGTATATAACCTTCATTCAAGTCCTTAGCTGACCTTAAAATGCATCCATGCAGGGGAGAATCCAAGGGGCCCAGGTAAGCAACAGTGGAAAGGCTGGAAAAGCTCAACAGATATCTCAGCTGCCACCACAGGGAAGACAGAATTTGGAGTCTGAGTCCCACCAACTTGGAAAGGCAGTAGAAACACGCAGGGCTTTTCCTTGAAACTCCTACAAGGCCACACCTTAGCAGAAAAGACTATACCCAGGACAAAGGGATTCATCTTGCATTAAAGGCAAAACTGAAACAGACCCACCACAATGTGTAAAACAAAGCCTCCGTAATTTCAAAATGAGTAGCTGGTAGAACCACACTAGAACAAAATCAACACTCCCCAAAGTAATATAATAGAATCCAAGGATTTTCCAACATACCTGTAATGTCCAGTGTAAATCAAAAAATTATTAGACATGAAGGAACCCACAGTCAAGAGAAAAAACAGTTACAAAAACATACTGTGCAATAATCCACATGATGGAATCAGCAGACAAGGACTGCTGATTTTAAAGACATTCTTAGAAATAGGTACATGAACTTAAAAGATGGCTATAAATGAAGGAACAGGTAGAGTTTCCCAGCTGAGAAAATGAAAGTAGGAAAAAAGAACCAGTGGCGATCTTAAAACTTTTAAAACCAATATTTGAAATGAAAAAGTCACTGGAAGCCTTAACATATTAGAGAAATCAGAAGGGAAATGACATCAGATGGAAAGAAACCAGTATATAAATGGGGATGAATAGCATCAGCATGGGAAAATAGGAAAGACTATCATTTTCTTATTTAAAAGACAACTGACTTTGTACAGTAAAGCTTATAACATTGTATTATGTGGTTTATAACATAGAAAAGTAAAAATTACAATAATATCACAAATGAAGGGCTGGGGTAGATGGAATTATATGGTTACAAGGATCTTATACTTTACCTGATGTGGGATAATATTTATTGTAAGTAGACTGAGATAAGTTAAAGGTGCATATTGTAATCAATAGAGCAACTACTATGTATATACACATATCAAAAGCGAGAGATACAGCTAAAAGAAAACAAAAGATTATAGCTAAGAGAGATAAAAGTAAAAGATATATTTCATTAACCCAAATCAAAGGAATAGAGGAGCAGAGAAACAAAATCAAATGCAACAAACAGCATAATTGCAGTTGTAAACCCATATATAATTAAATGTAAATAGATTTAACGCTCCAATTAAAAGGCTGAGGTGGTCAGACTGGATAAAAAAGGAGCACCTACCTATAAGCTGTATGCTAGAGGTACACTTTAAATATTAAGAGAGGCTGAAAGCAGTAGGAGGGAAAAAGATAGACCATACAAATAGTAAGCATAAAAAAGCTGTTATGGGTTTTGTAATATTACATGAAATAGTCTTTGATATAATAAGTATCAATAGGGACAAGAAAACATTTCATAGTGATAAAAGACATAGTTTATTAGGAAAACAACAATCCTAAATGTGTATGCATCTAATAGCAGAGCTACAAAGTTTATGAAGCAGAAACTAACAGAACAAAAGGGGCACCTGGACAAATCAATCATCATAGTTGGAGATTTTTTAACACCTTCTCTCAGTACTTGATATAACAAGTAGACAAAATTAGTAAGGTATAGGAAACTAGAACCAAACCAATAAGTCAACCTGACATAACTGAAATTTATAGAACATTATACCCAAGAACTGCAGAATACACATTCTTGTTAAGTGTACCTGGAACATATATCAAGACAGTCCATATGCTGGCCCATAAAACAAGTTCCAATAAATTTCAAAATGTTGAACTCTTAATGTATGCTTTTGGATAACAACAGTTTAAAATCAGAAGTCTCACATCAAGCTATATAGGAAATTCCCAATATTTGAAAAGGAAACAGCACATTTCTAAATAACTCATAGGTTAAAGAAGAAATCAGGAATTTTAGAAACTATTTCAAATGGAATGACATTGAAAACACAATATATCCAAAATGATGGGATGTTAGATACTCTCAGCTGAGAAAAGGGAAATTTATGGCCTCAAATGCTTATATTTGGAAATAAAAATGTATAACGTTAGTGATCTAAACTTCTACCTTACTAAAGTAGCAAAAGAAGAGCAAATTAAATCCAAAGAAACTAGGAGAAATTAATAACAATTAGAGCAGAAATCAGTGAAATAGAAAATAGAATAACAATGAAACTAGCAAAGCCAAAGTTGGTTTTTGAAAAGATAAATACAATTGGTAAATTCCAGGCAAGACTGATTTTTTAAAAAGATAAAGGATAATAAGGAAGATCATGAACAACTTTATGCCAATAAATTGAATAATTTAGAGGAACTGGCAAAACTGATTTGACATTATCAGAATAGCCTTATATCTAGAAAATAAATTGAACTGTTACAATTTTCAAAGAAAACTCCAAGTCCAAATGTTTTTTTTTTAACATTTTTCATTGATTAATAATCATTTTACAGTGTTGTGTCAAATTCCAGTGTAGAGCACAATTTTTCAGTTATACATGAACATATATATATTCATTGTCACATTTTTTTCCTCTATGAGCTACCATAAGATCTTGTATATATTTCCCTGTGCTATACAGTATAATCTTGTTGATCTATTCTACATTTTGAAATCCCAGTCTATCCCTTCCCACCCCCCCAAATGGTTTTATTGGTGGATTCTGTTAATATTTAAAGAAGAAATGATACCAATTATACACAAACTTTTGTTTTTATGAGGCTAGCGTAACTCTGACATTACAAGAAAAGGACATTACAGACCAATATCCCTTATGAACATAGATAGAAAAATATTAGCAAATTGAATCCAGAAATATATTTTTAAAAAGGTGCTAACAAGACCAGATATGATTTATCCCAAGAATTCTAGGTTGGTTTAATATTCAAAAATCAATCAATGAAATTCAGTATATTAACAGAATATATGACCAGCTCAATAGATACAGAAAAAAAATTTGAGAAGTTCAACAGCTATTCATGATTAAACAAAAACAAAAACAAAAAACTCTGAGCAAACTAGGAATACAAGAAAACATCAATCTGATAAAGGACATCGAAGAAAAACCAACAGCCAACTTTTTACAGAGTCTAAGCTTGTACTGCTAATAACACGACAGGCCAATACATCGAGAGATGAGTTGTTGGGACAAGGAATAGCAGCTTTATTTGGAAAGCCAGCAAACCAAGAAGGTGGTGAACTAGTGTTCCAAAAAACTATCTTGCCTGAGTCAGCATTCAGGCTTATTTTATACTAAAAGGAGAGGGGGTGTGGCTGGTTGTTGCAAACTTGTTCTCTCTGGAATTCTTTGTTCTTGCAGCTGTCCATGTAGGTCTGGTCACAATGCTCCTATAAACCTCCAACAAGACAAATGTTATTCTCTGTCCTGTAACCTTTTATCTTTATATGAATGGGAAAGTGTTATACCTTTAAAGGTCAGAGGTCTTGAGGATGAGCTATACTGTACATTTCAGGCTGTAGGCAACGTTCATTTTTGAGATGATCATAACCGAAACGTAAAAGCTAAAAACAGAGACTCCAAAAAGAAAACAATATCTTTGTGACCTTGGAGGAGGCAAAGATGTATTTAAAAGCAGTAAACAAAATTTAAAAACTGATAAATATAGGTTTCACCAAAATAAATTTCTGATTAAAAGATAACTTTAAGAAAATGAAACGATTAGTCACAGGCTGGGAGAAGACATTGGGAATACATGTATTTGACTGTAATGCACCGTTTCACCCTGGCAAAAACCCCAAACAAGCCCAACAAGGGAACAAAATTACTGAAAGTGTATTTCCTGAATGTGTATCACCTGGAGCTCTCTTACACTACAGGTGGGAATGCACAGCGGGACAGCCATTTTGGAAAACAGGTGACAGGTTCCTGCAAAGTTAGACACTGACCTCAGGACCCACACAACCTGGTGGAAGTGGTTACACCCGCATGCACGTTTCCAGAATTCATAGAATTGTACACGTAAAACCTGTGCATTTTATTGTATCTACACCTTAAACAAAAAGATAAATCAGAGCAAAACAGAAGGATAACTAAAATGAACATCGAAAAGCCGTCCCCAGGGGTCCTCTTGCGTCCCTCTGGACCAGCGAGCGCCCGCGGGCTGGCGAACCGAGCCGCTGGAGAGGAAAGGAAACCGCGCTGGAACGTGCGGGCGCGGGGGCTGGGCCGGGGGCCGGGCCGCGAGCCAGCGCTCAGCTAGTTGCAGTTTCGTTTTCCCTCTGCCGTCCTGGTTCCCCGGTGACTCCGCCTCTCGGCGGCGCTGGGTGCGTTTCCTAGAAAACCCCTCCCGGCTCCGCGCCGGGCTTCACTGCGAGCGGAGCGCGAGCGAGCGGAGGACGTCGCGGGCAGCCCAGCCGCCAGCATGACGACCGAGCAGCGGCGGAACCTGCACACCTTCGGGGACTATGTCAGGAAGATCCTGGACCCTACCTACATCCTGAGCTACATGGCCCCCTGGTTTAGGGACGGTGAGTGGTTCCCAGCGGCACCTGCCCTTTCGGGCAAGAAAACATCTCAGGACTTGATTCCCACTTGCTTTTCCCGTTCTGTCGATCAATACAGGTAGCTTGCTAGGAACGCCGGGTTTTGGGCAAGATTTCCGCAGCATTTTAGATTAGAGATCGTCAGGGTTTGAGGAGCCCTTGGAGGTCCAGATGGGGAAACTGAGACCCTGGAAGGTGAAATGACTTGCTTAGGGGTGCATAAATATTTTGATTCAAAGTTGGAGAAACACGTCGCTGTCCATTTCTTTTATTTCTACTAATAATGAAGTCTACTGTGTGTTTGTTTTTGTGCTGACATCAGAGATTCAGAAATAAGATAGGAGACCTTCCTTTTAAAATACTTTACAGTATAAGGATTTGAAGGTGGGAGGTGGGTGAGGGCTTAAATATACAAATATTTGGGTATACAAATAGTTACCAAGTGCTGTCAGAACTCCAAGTGAGTTGAGACTTAACGCTGCCAGATCTTATTTGCACTTTAAATAACTGGAAACTTGAGAGGAGCAAGACTTCCTGGACTGAATGGGCAAATCTGGACCTCCTTGTGGGACATCAGTAATGGCTGGGAGGTAGCACATCTAAGGGAAGGACAAACAGCAGGTAACCCTGGGAGCAAGAACTGGGTTTAGGAACAGAATTAACGACCTTAAAGGAACAGTGTAGGGTTGTGTGCCCAGGGAAGCTAGGATAGGTGACAAGGGAGGTTGCTGTTGTAGACTGAACTCTGTTCCCCCAAAGGGATATGTTGAAACCCTAACCCCAGATCTCAGAATGTGACCTTATTTGGAAATGGGATCTTTACAGAGGTAATCAGTTAAGATGAGATCATACTAGAGTAGGTTGGGTTCCTAAGCAAGTGCAATTAGTGTCCTGATAAGAAGACAGCCGTGTGAAGACAGAGAGCAACAAGGAGAAGCTCATGTAAAGACAGAGGCACAGATTATAGTGATGTGGCCACAAGACAGGCAAACAGAAGAGAAGGTAATGTGAAGAAAGAGCAAAGATTGGAGTGATGCGGCCACAAGCCAAGGAATGTCAGCAGCCACCAGGAACTGGAAGGGGCACGACTGTATTGTCCCCTAGAGCGTTCAGAGAGAGTGTGGTTCTGCCAACACCTTGGTTTCAGACTCTGGCCTCCAGATCTGTGAGGGAATAAGTTTCTGTTGTTTTAAGCCACCCACTTTGTGGCAATTTGTTATTGCAGACAAGGAAGCTAATATAGATGGCTAAAATTAAAAAGACAGACAGTAAGAAGTGCTGACAAGGATATATAGAAACTGGAATCCTCATAAATTGCTGGTAGAAATATAAAATGGTGCAGTTCCTTGGGACAACAGTTTGGCAATTCTTTACAGTATTAAACATAGACTTACCATAGGACCCAGCAATCTCATGCCTAAGTGTATACTCAAGAGAAATGAATACATGTGTTCATGAATGAATACGTGTGTACAAAAACTTGTACATGAATGTTCTTGGCATTACTCTTTGTAAAAAACAAAATGTAGAAAGAGCCTAAATGTCCATTAACTGGTGAATGGATAGACAGAATGTGGTATATCCATACAGGAATATAATTCAGCAATAAAAAGGATTGATGATGCATGCTACAACATGGATGAACCTTGAAAACATTATGCTAAGTGAGAGAAGCCAGCCACAAGGACCACATACTACTATATGATTCCATTCATATGAAATGTCCAAAATAGGCAAATCCACAGAGACCCAAGTAGATGAGTGGTTGTCTGGGGCAAAGAGAAGAGGAAATGGGGAGTGACAGCTAATGGGTACAAGGCTTCTTTTTACAGTAATGAAAATGCATTAAAATTAGATAGTGGTGATGGATTTACAGCTCTAAAAAACCATTGAATTTTACACTTTAAAAGGGCTAATTTTATTGTTATCAAGACAGAGACCCTGGCAGAGAAGGAGGGCATTTCTTCTTTTCTTCTTTCATTCATTCAAAATATATATATATATATATTCAAAAATACCTTTGTTGCGTGTATCATTAAGTGCTAGGGCCTCTTCTAAACTCTGAGAATACAGAGGTTAACCAGCCAGCCAGCTGGCTTACTTCCTTGGAATTTACATTCCATTGACAGTGGGAAAAAAATGGAAAATTACCCAGTGTCAGGTTATATGAAGACATTGGTTTGGCCAACACCGCAGACAGAGTTAGTGTACAAAGTCCATATGACTGCCAGCAGGTTGGTGGATAGTTTTCTGCTACCTGGCCTCACTGTGTTTCTCTTTAGCTCCTTTGCTTTCTCTTTTCTGCCTTATTTCCTACCATCCGTTGACCTAAAATAAAGAGACTGCCAGATGTTTCTCCAGCAAAGATGAGTTTATTTGGGATCAGCAGAGAATTGCAATCTGAGGTCTGCAGCCATGG